AGAGAAGGATAGGGATAGATCAAGGCATCTGGAGACGTCGATTGACATTACATTTGAATTGTTGGAGATTATAGCTATCAGGGAAACAAGAAATGGGGAGGGAGTCCCACAGGCGAGAGGTGCGAGACATGAAACTACTGGAGTAGAAGAGATGGCTACATTTAACAGTTTCGACAGTGAAAAGGTATGAGCGAGATGCCAGCCTAGTAGAACGCTTAAATTTTTGAAGTCTGGGAACCTGCGAAAGCAGCTCCTCGGAGCAGTTACCGTGAAAGTATTTGTAAAAAAGACATAAATTACATATATATATATATATATATATATATATATATATATATATATATATATATATATATATATAAATATAAATTACATATTTATATATATATATATTTTTATATATATGTATATATATATAAATTATATATATATATATATATATATATATATATATATATATATATATATATATATATATATATATATATATATATATATATATATATATATATATATATATGTATAAATTATATATGAATTATATATACCGTATGTAACATCAAAATTGTCCAAATCGTTTAACACCATCATTATTCATCCCACAAAATGTTTAATATCTAAAAAAAAATTATTTAATCATAGCTAAGGATCAAAAGTTCATGATCTATCGAAATAGAGTTCAATTATATATATACATATATTATTCCATCATCATATCCAAACTTATTTAAGATGATCCTCCCCCTCTCTAACTTTCTAAATTTCTGTCCTGGATTAAGAAGTTGCCTCACACGTTTCACGTACGATTTCACTTTAAAGTCATTTTTCACTGATCTTTGGACTGTCATAGCTGAAACTTCTCTTCATGTGTCAAACGTCTTATGGATTGAGTTGGACATTTTCGAATTGGTCTCTTTCGGTCTAAGTTGAAATGATGATCCCTCTTGCAGTTGTGACCTCCTGATCCAGTTTTCCTCTCTACTTTTCCCTCTTTTTTAACATATTCACCGTTCTCTTGATTGTTCTTGAATGGATTTTGAGGATGGAAGCCAAAGTATGAATGCTGGTAGCATTACTGAAGGCCTGAATTATCATTTTCCTCTCCCCATTGCTCATTTGGGAAGACAGTGTTTTCTGACGCAAAACGATTTTCATTTGTTCTCTTCTTACCTGAATAACACACAGGGTCTTTCAGTGATTTTTACAACAAATGATTTCAAGATGGCTAAACATCTTATGTGAAAACGTGGACAAAAGAAACTCAGTTTAGGGTTTTTTAGATATTAAACATTTTGTGGGATGGACAATTATCTCATGCTGTTACACGATTTGGACAATTTTGCTGTTGCACCCTATACATACATACATATATATATATATATATATATATATATATATATATATATATGAAAAATTTCTCGGATTTAACCTGTAGAAAAAGACAATATGTATAAAGATAAAAGACAATAGGAAAACTGTATTATTAGCCGACGGGTTTGGTCCAGTGTAGACTTTTTCAAGGCCAAAACGAAAAAAGTCCACATGGACGAAACGCGTCGGTTAATAATTATCTTTTTCCTATTGTCTTTTACCTTTATGGTAGGATTTCTGACTGACTGGGTTTCGAACGGGCTTGGGTTGTCTAGTCGCACTGAGGAGCTGTGATCGAGCGAAACAGTACTGACCGCAAATGACATAATTTAGCTCTTGAAAATATATTTTCAATTGAGCACCGTTGAACGGCAAGCTAATTCTAAAAACAACGGTCACCTGCGTAAATGCGAAGCTCTTCAGTAAAATAAATAGAGCACTATGGCTGCTTGGCGTTTGTTTACATTTGTAAAAACAATACGCTAGATTTGGCTGACTCATTCTGTCGAGTGAAGATGGTCCAGTGCTAGAAGCTGCGATTGACTCTAAATCGGTTGGGTTTCGATCCGGGTTTGATGCATTCGGTTGCACTGAGGAGCTCTGATACCGCGAAACAGTACTGTCTGCAAATAACATATATATATATATATATATATATATATATATATATATATATATTTCATGTCATTATTTCCTCGAAATGAAGTATCCGTGTAGGTAGAGACAAACCTACCCTTATGATGACTTAAGTGTATATTTCTTAATTTAATGAACTCCGGACAGCCCCCTCTTTGTCTGAGAAGGACTATTCGTAATTTGGAAAAGTCAATCAGTAAAATTAATCGACACAAAATGTCCTTTGTCATTAATTTTATTCGCATTAAACAATATTTGCTTCCTAAATTCACAGAAGATACATGTGTGTGCGTGTATGTCTGTATGTGTATGTGCGTACGAATATTCTTATTATTATAAATAAATAAAAATAAAATGTAGCATAATCATATATAAATATAAAATAATATATAATTTTCTTGCTTTGTTAACTAAAGCAAAATTAATTCTTAATAACTTTTAAAGAGATCATAGGCATATTATTATTATACATAAATAAAATAATAATAATGAAAATTATAAATAAAATAAAATAAAACAATAACATAAAAATTCTATAAAATAAATGAAATAGAAATTAAAAATAATAAAAATACTCCCAGCACGCAACAAAAACTGTGCCTGCCGGAAATACGGTCACCAAGCTAAAAGTCGTTAAATTCCATCTCTTCACCACGAACTTTGTTACGGGCAGTACGTGTCTAACTTCTCTATGTGATATGGTGTGTCATACTACGGAGTAAATTCTCCCTTTTATCACATTTATCATAAACAATTATAAACTAAAAAACACACACACACCAATACACACAAGAATATAAATAAAATGTATGAAAGTAACATACAATTTACTATGCATTTCCTGTTGTTTCTGTACGTTTTATTTCCTGTCAAGTATGCTTTTATCTCCGTGAACACGAGGCTAATTTCTGCTTCTATGATGTGTGTACATGCCCCACGTGTGTGAGTGCCATTTTGTCTCAGTAGGTGGGTGATCATGTATCTCCTCTGTCTTCTATTCATTGGCACAAAGTCATCGGAGAGATACTCACTATTCTCTTCTACTTTTCTTGCTTTCAATTCCCCAAGCATTCTTTTAAATGGTTGGTGGTTCTCATTCCCGCCTTACCGTATTCCTGATAAACTTTTCCATATCGGGGTCCGATGAAGTTCCTCTCTGAGACCAATGCTTTCAATAGATTCGGAGCTTGGTTTCCAATGAATGAGAAAAGGAAGTCTTGATTGATGCTATCATATGTGGCTGTGAGGTTAACATAGCAGGTATACAGTTTTAGAACAGGCAGTCCCCTGCAATTGTCTGTGTAGTTTAAATAAGTCTGTATTGCTACGACGTCACTTGTACAAATCAAGATACCGCTGGTTCAATTCGCCATTCTTGCTTTCTGAACACGTCACAACGTATATCTCTTTTTCCTTCAGCCCTTTTCACTGCTTCAGCCCTTTTCACTGCTTCAGCCCTCTTTTATCAGGCCAACACTGCGGTCGACCAACCAATCAGCGTTCTTCGCTTTTATTCTCCAGTTCGACCAATCAGCACACGACTTGCTATTGGTGGAAGTATGCCAAACTGTACAAAAACCCTCGTTACCGTACATAGTGCTAGATGGGAGAGTAATGCCATTTCCACGGGGCAAACTTGCCGATGTCACGTGTCGCCCGTTAAGGTAAGACCCTTATTTTCATATGCACCAGATGCAAGCCACTCTGACTCGCTTGATTCTACGGGACTGTTCACCACAGTTTGATAACAATTATCTATTACCGTAACGAAAGCCAAATTGGGGCGAGAGGAGTGTTTTTAATCATTTCACTCAAAGAAAGACGATAATGCCACTACGACGCAACGGGTTACTGCGAGTGAAAGAGAATGATAAAATTTTAGTGAGGAGAAAGGACAAAAAAAGAAAGAAAAAAGAACAGGCTTCGGGAAGACAAAAAATGGCGACTGGCGTTGTATTTAAATCTTTGAAGATTATAGGGGGCAAGGAAACACAAAATCGGAAGGCAGTTTCAAAAGGTGAGAAGAGCAAGAGAATAAACTTTTAGAATAAAAGAAAAGGTTGTATCTCGTTAGTTCAACAGTAAAACGGCGAAATCATTCTAGTAGCCCGCTTAAATTCATGCAGTTGTCTTTCATAAAACGATGCACGTCTAGTTCATTAATACCTTCACCATAAAGGATCCGCAGTGTGTGAGGGTCTTTAGGGCCACCTGTTTGCATCCATAGTGCATGGATACAGCACTTACTAAGAGCTAGTAGATATTGTGGAGAGCCAGTATCACCCAACTCCTGAAGAGACAAGGCACATAGAAGATATTATTCTACTTTTAATTTATTTTAGTTTTATTGTTTATTTCATAAGATTTATATAAGATTTTATAGATTTTTCGCATTTTTATAAGATTTTATAGAATTTTCGCATTTTTATAAGGTTTTATAGATCTTTTGCATTTTTATAAGATTTTATAGATTTTTCGCATTTTTATAAGATTTTATAGATTTTTCGCATTTTATAAGATCTTATAGATTTTTCGCATTTTTATAAGATTTTATAGATCTTTTGCATTTGTATAAGATTTTATAGATTTTTCGTATTTTTATAAGATTTTATAGATTTTCGCATTTTTATAAGATCTTATAGATTTTTTGCATTTTTATAAGATTTTATAGATCTTTTGCATTTTTATAAGATTTTATAGATTTTTCGCATTTTTAGAAGATTTTATAGATCTTTTGCATTTTTATAAGATTTTATAGATTTTTCGCATTTTTATAAGATTTTATAGATTTTTCGCATTTTTAGAAGATTTTATGATATAATATTACAGTGGTGATTATTGTAAACACAGTAACAGAGCTAGAGGGCGTGGTCCACCTCGGGTGACTCTTATGAGGGCAGCACTTTTGGGTCTGCTGTATAAGTCTGTATTGAAAGAAAAGTGGTTTTAATGTAGGACCTTTTTCGATTTCGAGTAACCTGAACTATGGCATATGTAACACCGGTTCTCGTACGATCACAGAAGTTAAGCAATGTTAAGCCTGCTCATTACCTAGATGGGTGACCGCTTAGGAATACCTGGTGCTGTAATCTTGGATTTGCGGGTAGTGTAATGGATAATGGCTCGGAATTATTAATCACAGAGCCGAGTTCCAATTTCCGCCGGGTTCATTGTATTCACGTACGTGTAAATAATCCTTGGTAATGGCATGAAACTACATCTTCTATCCCCCAAGCTATGGGTTAATTAGTTAGACTTGTTTCCCTAAGCCATCATTACTGAAAAATTTGCAATTTAAAAATTTTCTGGTATTGAATAACCTGCAAAAGGTTGATAAGCCGTGAAAAATGAATGAATCAATATGGCATATGTATTTAAACGATTATCTTAGTCAGACAATAAAAATTAGCCAGTGATATATAAATATCTGTTTTGTCATTGTTGACAATGTGAAATCTGTGAACGGAACCAGAGTGAGTTCTATTAATGCCGCAGCACCGTAGTGTGTGGGAGACACATCTTGGTTGTTATCATATAAATTTCAGTTATTTTCCTTGAAAGAAGTTCGTTTCTGGGTATGTGTTGTTTTTATTTTTCGTCTTTTGTGCACTTTAATAATTAGCATATATATATATATATATATATATATATATATATATATATATATATATTATTTTTTATTATTTTAAAATTCCATCTCTACATAAGGAATCATATTTTTATAAAATAATTATAATTTAGGCTCTACTTATGTATTGTGCGCTGTTTTTTTAAAAATAAAAACAAAATACTAACTTTGGATCATTGACCTAAAAGTTCTTTCCTATTTTTTCTATATTTGCACACACACACACACACACACACACACACATATATATATATATATATATATATTTCTATCATTTGTATATCCTTGCTTGAACCGGCTCCTAATGCTCTTGAGAATAGCAGTCGTGGCTCGTGGGGGGCACAGTCCTATGGGTAAGGGAAACTCGGATGAGTTATATCACGGAATTTGTTAAGAGTGACGCTCTATCAAGTCTAATTCGTTACCACTTCGACGCTGAATCCCGTTGGTACAGCTGTTATAACGTTTGCGTCGTTTTGTAACGGTCGGGGTTCGATTCTCGTTAGTGGATGCTTACGGCAGATGAATCCCAAATGTAGAACGAAGTGGCTGTCTGTTGATGTTTCTTTTAGACTCGATGAATTACTTCATTTTGATTATCTCAAATCCTCCTAATAATTTCTATCACACACACACACACACATATATATATATATATATATATATATATATATATATATATATATATATGTGTGTGTTAAATAATACAGTGTAACCCGGATATAAGAGACTTGTCGGGACCGGAGAAGAAGTCTCTTATATCCGGGTTTGGTCTATTTTATATACATTAACACAGGCTCTAATTTGGGACCAGAGAAAATCTCTCTTATATCCGGGTTTCTCTTATATCCGGGTCTCTTATATCCGTGTTACACTGTAGTTTCAAACTATTATTTTTTAGTGGCAGTGTATTTGGCTGAGAGTTTCTGAGGTTGACCTTTAAGGTCAGATGGTAGACAAAATAGTGATGTGGAATTTGATTGGCTGAGCCGAACGTAGGAATTTTAGATAGAAAGTGTTTTTCAACTCAACTTAAGTTTTACACACAATACACAATAGACGTGATTATTTCGTGTCTCGGAGAACTTGCTCCCCAGTGGGGATGATAGAGCGACCTCACTGGCTAGGTAAAAATGTACACATCGACGTGTTAATAAAATAGATAAGTTTAAAATTCCTTTTGTCGAAGTTCTCATTTTACCTTCGAACAAAGCAACTAGCGATCACCCGACCGGGAAAAGACGACCGGGACAGAAAAATGCAGCTTTGTTTAGGAATTGACCAAGTCATCCAAAAAAGACCCCCAGAACAAAGGGGTTATATAACATGTGTGTGTGTGTGTGTAAGAGGGTGTCTCTTTGTAATATGTTGTATTTTTGGTGGGAAAGCGAGGGTAAAATGACAGACGGCAAACCCAAGTGTCTGGCACTGGTGGCACACATTCTGCCCTGGGAGGCATAAACTCTAGCTACGCAACCGTGTACATAATTAGGTTTCAATAAAATTTGGAATTTATACGAATGAGGTGTACCGTATCGTAGGTTCGGCGGGAGCATAAGTTGCTAGCGCCGACGTTACCTCCATAACCTAATCCGAGATTTACAAATAAATTTCTATGCTATCGTCGAAAGCGTTGGTTGAGAAAAATGCGCTTCTGCCAGAACGCCTGTCCTTAGTGTTTGGGCGCAGGTAAGTTCTGATTATTCGAGGTCATTCCAATTTTCGGAGATTGGCGGACAAACGAATGATAATCTGACGTTTAAAGATAAAGGGAGAATTTAATCGGGTGATCAAAAGATTTTGCATAGACACACATATATATCAGGTGAAAAATTGTCCAAATCGTGTAACAGCAAAATTGTCCAATTATCTGCTTAAGTTTTGAACCGTTTTATCTTAGAAATGATTAAAGATATCTTACTGGAATTCTCCGAGTTTTTCATAACACCATTGGACTCAACTTTGAGCAATGAGAATGTATTTAGTTCTAAGTTGAAATGATGATCCCCCTTGCTGTTGTGACCTCCTGATACAGTTTTCCTGTCTACTGTTCCCTCTTCTTTAAACTTATTCTCTTTACGGTTCTTGAATGGACTTTGTAGATGGAAGCCAGTGTATGAATATTGGTATCAATAAAGAAGGCCTGAATGATCCTTTTTCCTCTCACCATTGCTCATTTAGTGACAAATTATTTTCCACCTCTCTCACAGATGAAACGTCGCAAGCATTTCACTGCTCTATCGTTATTACCATGGGAAATTTTCAGACGAACTACAATACAGGAATCCCTCGATGGTTAATTTGTATATCGGTAACTTTAAAAAAAGAAAATCAGTTTTCAGTTCTCTGGTTAAACTATTACATAGAAATGCATTGAAATTTTTTTTGACTGATAGTATTCTCTGAATCGAAAATAATAATAATATTGAGTCAAATGGAAGCAGAATGCTAAAATCCCTTTTCCTGTTGCGGCCTCTGGGTCCAGTTTTCCTTTCTAGTGTTCCATCTTTTTTTAAAACTTATTCACCATTCTCTTGATGGTTCTTGAATGGACTTTGAAGATGGAAGCCAGATTATGAATGTTGGTATCAATAAAGAAGGCCTGAAAGATCATTTTTTCCTCTCACCATTGCTCACTTGGTAAAACATAGTGGGTCTGGCACAAAACAATTTGAACCTGTTCTCTTTCTAGCTGAATATGATTTTTTTTTCTGTGATTCTTACGACAAATGGTGTCAAGATGGCTAAACGTCTTATATAAAAACACTGGGAAGAAGAAACTCAGTTAGTTTAGGGTTTAGTTCAGTTAGTTTAGGTTTTTTTTTTTTTTTTTTAGATATTAATCATTTTGTGGGATGGACAATTATCCCCTGCTGTCCATGATTTGGACAATTTTGCTGTTACACCATATACATATATATATATAAGTGTATTGAGGCAGTAATCCTTCTTCCATGCACATTTCATTGAATACGACAGACAAGGTGCTTTTATTTATTTTTTTTTATACAATTTCTCATGCAATCTAATAATTATTAGATTGTATATATATATATATATATATATATATATATAGAGAGAGAGAGAGAGAGACTCCCCTCGGTTTCGACGTATGAGGATCTGACAGCTTAATTGATTCAGTTATGAAAGTGGCAGTTAAGACCCGCCAGTGATTTACAAAGGAGGCCACATATAGAGCAAGTGTGAGGATTGTGAGATGAGATCACTGTTAGATTGGTTGACCTTTTAGATCTTGCTCTCGCTTCTTGAAGATGATCCAGACAAGCAGATTGAAAATTGCTGAGTCCACTAAAACACGTTGATCTCCATTCTACCCGCTCAAAAGGCTAAGCGCTCAAGGGTGTTATGTGGTATATTAACTGCTGACAAGTTGCTTTTCAGCTTGTCTTTGTATCTTAGCCATGGGCGTCCTACATTCCTGTAGCTCTGATCTAACTGGCTGTACATTAGGATCTTGGCTATCCTGTCATCAGACATTCTCAAGACATGACCAGTCCACCGTAACTGAGACGGTATGATAAAAGTCTCGATTCCTCCAATTAAACAGGTCTACGTTAGATGTCCTATCTTGAAGCTTAACTCCACAGATTGCACGCAGACAGCTTTTTTTATATATATTATTTATTATAATTTTTACACATAGACAAAAAACAATTAGAATTATTTGATATTGAGCCCTCTTTAATTTAGTGCGATGAACATTATAATTTATATATTATTTTCGTTCTCATTACATTCGGATATATATATATATATATATATATATATATATATATATATGAACAATAAGAAAATTAAAAAATTAAAAATTAAAAAATTAAAATCATTAGACACACTGGGTTTGTAGATTAATATTCTTTTCGTTTTTTATTATTATTATTATTCCATTTAAACGATAGTTTCGAGGGAAAATGGCCATCATTTCCTGACGATCCGTTAGCAAGGAACTACAGAAATGAATCCTATATATATATATATATATATATAAATATAGGTATATATATATTATATATATGGCTCACTAGGTTTCCTGAAGGTCTGCTCTACGGTTGTATTGAGCTCTTTTGTCTTTTGTTAGTTGTTGTTTCGTATCGGGGTTTTTTTCTTTGGGCTTCAGACCTGCATCTGTGCGATTTTTTTCTTCGCAGAATTTCATGTTTGTAGCTCTTTCTTTTTTAAAACCTTTTTTCCCTCGAGATTGATTTGATTATTAGTAAATAAAAAATTCGAGGGTTTTTCGAAACGAGTCTAGTTATCTATCTATCTATCTATCTATCTATCTATCTATATATATATATATATATATATGTAAAAGACTATAGGAAAACTGTAATGGTAGCCGACGCGTTTCGTCCAATGTGGACTTTTTCAAGGCGAAACGAAATGAATTTTTTAAACAAAGTAACTAATAATAACAAAAGAAAATTTCGTTAGGAACTGGAAGAATTTGGAGAAGGCTATTTTCGTACTGTTAACTGGAAGTGGCAGTAATTGACGTAATTTCAGTTTACAGTATGAAAATAGCATTCTCTAAATTCTTTCAGTTGCTAAGGACATTTTGTTTTTATTATTATTAGTTACTTTGTTTAAATAAATTTATTTCATTTTTGCCTTGAAAAAGTCCACAACGGACGAAACGCGTCGACAGCCATTACAGTTTTCCTAATGTCTTTTATATTTATAAATATTGTCTCTTTTTCTACAGGTTAACTCTGAGATATTTTTCACACACACACACACACATATATACATACATATTGTTGAAACTTGACTAATGCATGGAATAATAATGCAACACAAAATGTACTTAGGACAAAATGTATTGAAACAAGAAAGTGTACACAATATTTACATATAGTCTTTTGTATATTCCTGGTAAGACCGTTCCTGGGGAATGTGTTGACTGAGTCGCAGTCGGGCAGAGTCTCTGGTTTAATCTCTTGATTCCTCCCTCTCTTCCCGGTACCAACCATATTTATATGGTCGGTACTCCACTATGCAAATTAGGTGGATTCTACCACAACACATATATATATTAACCATTTTGTGGGCGGGACAATTTTGATGCTACAGACGGTATACATATATATATATGGCCTGAATGATCTTTTTCCTCTCACCATTGCCTTGCTTCGTTAGGAAGACAGTGGCTCGGATACAAAACGATTTTAATCTGTTCTCTTTTTAGCGGAATAACTCAAAGGATTTTTCAGTGATTCTTACGACAAATGGTGTCAAGATGGCGAAACGTCTTATCTGAAAACTTGGTGAGAAGGACAATTAATGGATACTGTTCCATGAGTTGCAAGATTTTGCTGTTGCTCCCGATATATAAAGCATTATTTGGGCTTTGTTTGACCAGGAGGTCTGAGATGTCAAGTCACGTCAGATCTAATGACAATTTACCCCTTGACGACGCAGGTTCGAATCGTGCCGGGAGGCGCATGTTTTTCTAACAAGAATTCTCGAATATTAACGGCCGGTAGATGGAAACAAATAAATATAATGTTTCAAAAATAAATAAAAACAGAGGTTGGCAAGGTCGAATTTACTGCTTATAGACTTCAATCTTCCATGAATCTCGTACATTCATAACTGCTCATGGCGTATCAAATGTAAACAAATGACGTCATCATTAAAAAATGGACAAAGTCCGACAATTTATTAAAGACAACCGAACGTTCCTTTGTGGCTGAATGGTTAGGCACGTCAAGCTAAATGTCGGTTCCGTATAGGATGCAGGTTCGAATCCTGTCAAAGGACGAATATTTTCTATGAAAATTTCTCGGACATTCAGGCCGGTAAATGTTATTTAATACTGTTTATTATAAACAGAGCATTTACTTAAATACTTGTATCTATAAAAAGAATGTTAAACATAAAAATGTCTTTAATATATATATATATATATATATTTAATTAAAATTAAAAACAGACAACCTCAAGGGTCCATTGATTATATCTTATTTCCCCAGGAAGATGTTTTTTTCCTGGTTACTCAGATCATATTTCCAAGTATAAAGAAAAGTATAAAAAAATGGTTTTAAATTTACGTATTATTTTTATACGCTTTTCTATAGTAGTTTTAAGTTGATGTAAGGTCATAGAGAGAAGGGGAGGAGGAAGAGGACGACGACGACGACAGATACGGTCGAAATCAGAGAAGGAAGGGAGAAATAGGAATCTATCTTTTTTTAAATACTTAAGACTAAAGGAGAGGGGGTAAGGACCAGACATTAACCTATTTAATAAGTCAGCTCACAGGAAAAGAGAAAAAGAGAAGAAAAAAAAGAAAGAAAACATACAAGAAAGCAAATGTGGAAGCAGGGGTCGGGGGAAAAGATAGAGAAAGAAGAAAACAGCATACGGCCATATCATGTCGAAACACCGGTTCCTGTACGATCACCGAAGTTAAGCAATGTTGAGCCAGGTCAGTACCTAGCTTGGATGTGCGGGTGGTGTAATAACTAATGTTTCGAAATAAATAATCGGAGAGCCGAGTTCCAGTTGCCATCGGATTCGTTATATTCACATACGAGCAAATAACATTGGGAATGGTATTAATCCACCTCTTCTCCCCCACCTATGGGTTAATTAGTAAGACTTGCATCACTAAACCATTATTATCGGAAAAAAGCATCTTACAGTCTAAAAAAAGATTCTGGCTTTAAATATAACATGCAAAGGGTTGATAAGCCGTAAAAAACGAAATGCATCCCCAAAAAGTGACGTTTATCACCTTCTTCTTCTTCTTCTTCTTCTTCTATATGCTTTGTCTTTTTAGGATGTAGGTGATCATGACTCTCCCCAACATCCTACTTTCTTAATAAGTGTTGTATTCATGCTCTACGGAAGCAGTATCTTAATTGGATCAGTTATGGTGATGGTATGAATGAACGAGTCTCGGGAAAGATATGAATCCACCTCTTCTCCCCCACACATGGGTTAATTAGTTAGACTTATATCGCTAGATCATTAGTATTTCCCAAAAAATTGTTACAATCTAGAAATATTTTCTGTCTTTAAATAACCTGGAATGAGTTGATAAACCGTAAAAAAATCAACCAATGAATGTGATGTCCCAAAAATATACACATCGTCATCAGATTGAATATTTATAAACTTGCATTTAATTTCATTTAATATTTAATTTAAACCGTTAATCTTTGTAAGTCAATAAAAATTAATATTTCTTAATTTTAACCATTAATCTTGTTTGCAAGTCAATAAACACTGAAATTATTTTCATTTAAAGAGTGAGTACTTATTATATATATATATATATATATATATATATATATATATATATATATATATATATATATATCAGTAGAGGCATCCGTCAGTTTCGGAAAACTATAGGATCTAGTAGGGTGGCTAGCTAATCCTTGTTGCTGACACCTGCTCAGGCACATATGTGTTTCTTCAAACCTGTGGTTTATACTGAAACTTTTGAGTAGACTTCAGTTACGGTTTCTAGGGGAGAGATCATAATTTGACATGATCAGTAGTTGAAAAAAGGGCAGTACACCCAAACCCTCGGTCACGATGACTAATATATATATATATATATATATATATATATATATATATATATGAAGATGCTATTATTTGTCTGAGTCAGCTCATTATTATCTATCTATCTATCTATCTATCTATCTATCCATCTATCCTTCCATATCTATCAATCATATCTATCTATCTATCTATCTATCTATCTATCTATCTATCTATCTATCCCAATCTATCTTCCATATCTATCTATCTATCTATCTATCTATCTATCTATCTCAGCCTATTCATTATTTTTCTATCTATCTATGTATCGTACAATCTCAGCCATTTGCTATCCTGTATGCATACCCCACACACACAAACACACACACACACATATATGTGAGTGTGTGCATATATTGATATAATAGGAAAGAACGCACGTAGCCTATGAATTACGTCTGTGTGTGTGTGTGTGTGTGTGTGTGTGTGTGTGTGTGTTGTATCGAATACGCAGGTCGGTGGACGTAATTTACACTGTTTAAAAACCAACAGGGCATCTACTGAAACATGGGCATCTATAAAATAACGTTTAGAGCATTAAAATTATATATACATACATATAATGTAATATATATATATATATAGATATATATATACAATTTAGAATATATGAATATATATATATATATATATATATATATATATATATATACAATTTAGAATATGTGTAATTAGATGTCGAAGTACGCATGCACTTCTTTTTGCACTGAGTTGAATTAATTACACTCAGCTGCCGATGTTTGTTTCTCGTTCAAACTGCTACACTCCTTTCAGCCATAGTTTCGTTGCATCTTCCTCCTCCTCTTGCTGCTGCTGCTGCTGCTACAAGTAAAAGACTGACTGCAGAAGACATTTAAAAACCCACGTTTCATATAGATGGCATAACTTATTATTAAAAGTCATCCGGATCCTGGAGCAAAAGCAGAAACTGATGGTGGATGGGATTTTTAGAAAAAAAGATGTGGCATGAGAAACACAAGCTGAAAAGTTGTTCAAGGTTAATTGGCGTCTATACGTTGTACATCAATAAATCCGTAGCTTAATAAAAAAAAGAAAGTTCATCTTTCAAAACAATCTTTTCAGTGGACTTAATCCAGCGAATAACCATTTAGCACACAGAACATTATACAGTGAAAATTTCAGATCAAAAAACGTAAATTTTTAGTGGTTAAACGTCTTTGTCTTGTTATCCCTGTTTTTTCCCCGTTTTATTTTTATTAAACGGTGAAATTAACTACAAGACTTCTTAATCTAGGTCGGTGGTTAAAAATTTCACTCTTGAGTAAAATAAAAATTCGGGATAGAAACTCAATCACGTGTACCCACTAAAATAACGTTTATATATATATATATATATATATATATATATATATATATATATATATCGTCGTCGCCGGGATATGTGGAGAACTAGGGCTGCCCAGACGTTCTAGTTCCCGCTCTCGGTCTTGCTAGCAGAGTACAAAGGCTATAGAACCCAGTCTGCCCTGCGATATACTCATAGCTGGAGGGAGAAGAGGATTCACACCATTGCCAAGAAATATATATATATATATATATATATATATATATATATATATATATATGTATGTATGTATGTAAGCAAATATATGGATATAGATCCGACAGTATGAAGAAAAATATACGGAAAAAACAAACACAAATCCTAATATGCAATTATGCTGTTTTACTGTTAATATAATGTCAACGTCGGACGTTTCGGTCTTGTAGACCATCTTCAGGACATATTCATAAAACATAATTAACATTAGACTATATTTAATTCAACATGAAAAGACGATGGACATAAGAGTAAGACGAATCAAAACAGACAACTGAAATTTTTCAAGATCAGCGTTCCATTTCAATATGATCACGTCGACGTCACGTGGGCGATGTTGTGAAAACATATCCCTAAAATATAGTTTTTTAAATGAAAAATGAAAAGAATTTTTTATATATATATATATATATATATATATATATATATATATATATATTTTGTGTGTGTGTGTGCGTATGTGTTCAATTGTATGGATATTAGGTTGCGATCATCAAACAAACTGGGTTATTTTTTAAAATTGGATGTATTTCTGTTTACTTGCGTTTGATTATTTGTGTGTGGTACGCGGGGATATTTTTCTATGTTTGTTGGGATGAGTCTCACATACATAGAAATACATACATACAGGTGTATGTATTTTAGTTCGTACCAGTTTGTCAGATGATCGCAAAGCGTGAAACATAGCGCTGCAAACTAATATCCATACAATTGAGTATATATATATATATATATATATATATATATATATATATATATATATATGTATATTTGAATTTGTAAGTCTGATGATTTGGATCGTGATTACGATTCCAATGTAATACATTATAACCATGGAATATTATGGTTTGAGTCTTTTTATATTATATTACTCTGTCCTGGACATTGCGTTCTACCTGGATTCTATCCTCTTGGGAATTTTTTTATATATATATATATATATATATATATATATATATATATATATATCAACTACTAATATTATCAATATATATATATATATATATATATATATATATATATATATATATATATATATGTAAACAAATATATGGATATAGATCCGACATTATGAAGAAAATATACAGAAAAAACAAACATCTTAAACATCTTAATTTTTGTTTGTTTTTTTTTTGTATATTTTCTCTTCATATATATATATATATATATATATATAATCAATTCGCTAAGTGATAAATTTTATTTGAATTAATCCGATATATCGGGTGTAACAACAAAATTGTCCAAGTCGTGTAACAGCGTGCAATAATTGCCTATCCCATAAAATGTTTATTATCTAAAATAAAAAAAAATAAATAAATAATTAAACTTGAAACTGAATTTCTTTTCCCCAGGTTTTTAGAAAAGACCTTTAGACATTCTGACACCATTTCTATTAAGAATAACTGAAAAACAATTTGAGTTATACAGCGAGAAAGAGAACAGGTTAAAATCATTTGTGTCAACCAAATTATATCTTCCCAAATGGGCAATGATGCGAGGAAAAAGATCATTTAGGCCTTCAGTAATGGTACCGACATTCATACTCTGGCTTTCATCAATTCCATTCAAGAACCATCAAAAGAACTGTGAATAAGTTTAAACATGAGGGAAAATGAGAAAGGAAAACTAGATTAGGACGTCATAACAAGAAGAAAGATCATCATTTCAACTTCCGCTAAAGAGATCAATTAGAAAAGATCCAACCCAATCCATATTTATCACGTGAGAGAGGAGACCAGGGAAAAGAGCTTGAAAATGAAATCGTCCGTGAAACCTCTAAGGCAGTTCGTTAAACCAGAACAGAAATTGAGAAGGTTAGAGATGGCAAAATAATCCTGGAATATATATATATATATATATATATATATATATATATATATATATATATATATATATATTTCAGCTTGATTTCAATCCTCCATGAGCTTCCGATCCTTAGCTATGATTAATTAATGATGAAAATGTCATTTTCATTTATGATTGATTTCATCACGATTCTTCTGTTAATCTTGGAGAGTAATTATACATTATTGCTCAAAGTAGAGTCCAATAGCGTTATAAAAGCCTCGGAGAATTCCAATAAGATATAATTTCTAATGCTGCCATCATCTTTTGCTAAAAATCGCCTGAAATTGAAACCATGGTAACGGATTCAGCTGACCTCCTGATTTTTAAAGTTACAAGCTATACATGTTATTTTTACTTCGCACATGTATTGAGCACTTTTTAATATTACTGTTCCCTAGTCGGATTCAACTCTGACCATTAACCTTTTATGTATAATATATATATGTGAGAAATATATAGAAAATAGGAAAGAACTCGT